TATGGATCATAGATGGCAAGTAACACAGATCAGAGTTGGAACTCTGACTTGTCACGTAGCTTATTTGCTGTGTGTCCGTAGACTATTTACTTAACCTCACTGTGTTGCTGTTTTCCTTAACCAAAAAAAAAAAAAAAAACAGGATTAATGCGCCTCACTCACAGTTCTTCTAAGGATTAAGCGATACATCACTTAAAAAGTGCTCAGCCTAGCATCTAGTCCAGTAAATATTGGTTCCAGTCCATGTCACACAAAGTGCAGGATATAGCACAATTTTAGAGTTTTAGAGTTTGGAGAAGGAATCACTTCAGAAGATGATGAAAATTCAGAGAATTTCAGTGACTCGTTCAAGGTTTCCCAGCTGCTGTGGACCGTAAAACACTATTGTAGAATGAATGGTTAGACAGACACTTCTCTGCATACTTCCAGGAGCACTTTCGTCTTTTACTTTTCATAATATTTTAAAAATGGCAAAAGTGGTGCAGAATTGGCAACGAGATGTGTATTACTCTGGTAATATTGTGAATTCTGAACACTTTGTTTTGTTTTTTAAAGATTTTATTAAGTAATCTCTATACCCAGTGGGGCTCGAACTGACAACCCAAGATCAAGAGTTGCATGGTCCACTGACTCAGCCGGTCATATGCCCCGTTGTGGGTTTCTTAAAAAAAGAAAAGGTTAGAGTTCTAAAATGTGCTGTTGGTTACTATGGTAGACAAAGAAATGGTCCCCTAAAGATATCCTCGACCCTAAAATCTGTGAATATGTTATCTAGCATGGCAAAAAGGACTTAGCAGACAAAATCAAGTTAAGGATCTTGAGATGGGAAGATTTTCCTGGATTATCTAGGTGAGCCCAGTGTAATTATAAACATCCTTACAAGAGGAATGCAGGGAAGCTGAGGAGAGAGGCTTTAAGATGCTGTGCTCTGTCTTAGAGAGGGACCACAAACCACAGAATGCGGGTAGCCTCTAAAAATGAGGGAATAGATGCTCCCTTAGAGCCTCCAGAAGGAATACCACCTGGCTGACAATTTGGTTTCAGCTCAGTAAGACCTCCAGAATTTTACGAGTAAATTTGTGTTATTTTAAGCCTCTTACTGTGTGGTAATTTGTTAGAGCAGCAATAGGCAACTAATATAGTTAGCATTAGATGTCAGTCTCCTCCACTATCAGATTTTATGTGTGTTGAAGTCTACACCTCTGTCCATGGGGTTTTTGTCACCTCCTGTGAAACCACGGCTCATTTCTGTTATGGAAAGGAACAAAAGTGAAAAAGCCATTTAAGGCTAAAGTTTTGTGTAGAATTGTGTGAACAACCTTCACAGACAAAGCCTAAAAGATGATGTAATTATTTTTGTTGAAAATATTATTAACCTGATAATCCAGACTTCTGCCTAGAGTCTGGATTATCAAGGATAGTAGTTTTGTCAGAGACAAGACTAACAAAAATGAAAAATTTTTATTCTAGTGTCTATTGGCTGTTTATGTGAGTGGAAAGAGTCTAGATGTAAGAAATGTATTATGGGGGGACGCCTGGGTGGCTCAGTGGTTGAGTGCCTGCCTTCAGCCCAGGGTGTGATCCTGGGGTCCTGGGATCGAGTCCCATGTTGGGCTCCCTGCATGGAGCCTGCTTCTCCCTCTGCCTGTGTCTCTGCCCCTATCTTGTGTCTCTCATGAATAAATAAAATCTTAAAAAAAAGAAATGTATTATGAATTTAGGTGCCCCATCAGTGGATAAAATTTAAACTCTAAGGATGGTAAATCAGGAGTTAGAAAATTGCTGTTAGGATTATTTTATTGGCAGCTGTGATTCCATTAGTAACCAGGAGATGGCAGAGTTGACACACAGATGAGCTGTTCCATCCTAGAGGTTTTGATTTTAAATGGTCTAGAAAGGTACGTTAGGTATTCTTAATTTGGAAACCTGCTTCCCAGAATTTTGAGAATTGTACAAAGAAGGTGAAATAAAATACAACTAAGTAAGTTGTGCATTTCAGAAATTTTCAGGGTGTTGAGGTTCCTCTCCCTCTTACTCATTTATCACATTGAAGTTTACTCTGCAAAGCCCAAAGCAGCCTTTGCTTTGAATGTGATTAAAGTTTGGCTGTACTCCCCTTATTTAGGTTTCTCTGTTGAGCTTACTGTAGGTTTGCCTGCCTAAACATGAAGAATTAGCTCATACTGAACTTTGAAACTTTAATTTCATTGGGTGTACATATATATGATAGACCTTTGATGAGAAATAATTCTCGAGATGATAACCAAAAGATATGGGTTTCACCCTTACTTCCTAACCCAAGTAGTTCTTGACCCTCCCTAACCTTTGTCTCAGATTGATATGTATTTAATCATGCTGACAATTGGCTTCTAGTATCGGAGGCCTATTAACAGGCTGTTGATTAGGTTTCACCAAGAAAAATAAAAATCAGATAGGTTACTGTGAGCTGTTTTGGCCTGGTTGGGGAAAGGATGTTAATGGAAGACACTATTGGTGATGCCCAGTGACCTTGAAGAGCATTTCAAGAGTGAGGACAGGGGTGCCTGAGTGGCTGAGTCTGTTAAACATCTGCCTTTGGCTCAAGGTTCTGGGATTGAGCCCTGAATTGGGCCTGCTCGGTGGGGAGCCCATTTTTCCCTCTCTCTCTGCCTCTCCCCTGACTCCTGTGCCTGCACACATCCTCTCTCAAATGGATACATCTTAAAAAAAAAAAAAGAAAAAAGATAAGTGAGACAGTGACAGGTTGGCTGTGTAGAAGGTAGGTGGCTGTGGCAATGAAAGAACCAGAAAGAACCAAAGATTTAGCAGCATCTCTCTCCCTCCCTCTTCCTCCTCTGCCCTCATACCTTTTATCAAACGGGAGGGTGAAGTTCACTGTAATTTTTCCCCTTTTTACACATTTAGTCTTAGCACCCATAGTTTTGTATCTTGGTGGTTAGTAAATGCTAGGTGGAGACATTCAGGTCTCCATTGTAAAAAACAATTCAAGTTAAACACGTCAAGTAAGTTTTTATTTACGTCAAAGAAAGAAAAACCTTGACAGCTTCATTATCAATTTTTAATCTGAAGTTTGTCATGCTTTTTGGTATGTTTAATTCTAATGAAGCCAATATTACATTTTAATGCTGACAAAAGATGGGAACATATATTTTCTTTATGTAAAATCTTAGTCATTTTGTCTTCTGATAGACCTCTGACACACAAAACACTCTTGGGTTTAATGAAAATGCCACCATTCCTGTGTCATGGAATCATACTGAACCCTAGATTTGTGAGGAGAGAATGCTCTAAAGAATGGATTTACCAAGAGACCCACAGATAACATTATTTCCTTTCATGGAATCACAATCCTGTAACATGTTTTTGTTCTTGTGCAGTGAAATACCCTGTTGTGGCTCAGATTCAAATCCAAGAAAGATCAGAGTTAATAGAAAACCAAATTGAAGGCAGTGGAGTCACTGGAAGAAATAGACAGTGGCCTCTCTCTTATGCCAAAATTGCCATGCCGTGCAAGTCAGGAAGCCGTGCTGGGGTGCTTTGTACCTCTTCAGTTAGCGAGATTGTTTTTCATCTGAGAACCTTTTCAAAGATTTTGTTTTGCTTCTGTATTTTTAAGAAATAAAAATATAATGTAAGAACATGAAGGGTTATGAAGCATGAAGTTCCATAAATATTTATACCAAGCCACACAAGGAGACAATTCCTATTTTCTTGACATATTGGGGTTGTATTTCACTCTTGACCTCTTGAATTGAAAAATACAAGGAGTTAGTGAGCCTTTTTCCTTCTTTTCTCTTTTCTTTTTTATTTATTTTCATTTCTTTAATGAGTTTTAGATGGTAGGAGCTATCCTTTTAGGTTCATGTAAGTTTCAATGATCTTTATTTTCTGTCCTTGTTTATAAGTATGACTTTAAAAGTTTGCACACTTATCAAGAGTAACATGATTTATGCCCGGTTTTAGGTCTTAGTGGTAAGGTGTTTAATTTGTTTTTTGCATGTGTGATTATCTCTAAATTAAAAATAAGTATTTGTCAAGGCTAATAAGTAGGATTGCATTGAAAAGCATATTTTAAAATTATTTTTAAAGATTTTATTTTTTTTATTAGAGTGAGAGAAGGAGAACATGATTTGGGGGAGGGTTACAGGGAGAGGGAGAAACAGACTCACCGCAGAGTGGGGAGCCCAATGTGAGGCTCAGTCTCTGGACCCTGAGATCATAACCTGAGCCAAAATCAGATGCTCAATTGCTTGAGCTACCTACACTCCAAAAAGCGTTTTTTTTAAATTAGCCCTTTCATTTTATTTTCTCCCTCAATTAAAATCTTTGGTCCATAGCAGATATATTTACTCTTTGATATTATGTTAAAGAAAGTAATCAAGTAGTAACACCTGTTGGTTTTAGAGAATTTAGAAATGCTGGTAGGCAGAAAAGAAGTAGCAAAATTACTTGTAATCCCACTTTGTGTATGTGGGCAGGGGGCTGTCTAGGGTGCTGGGGTTGGGAACTAGTTGAAGCTGGGGTGGTTAGTAGGATAGAAGATGAGGTGTAATCAGCTGACGAGCAGTCTTGGATCTATTGCTGTGTGCATTATTGACAGTAAAGGAAAAGCCCTTTTGATTCCTTCTTTCAACCTATTTGAAATGGCTGTCATGTGAACACTAGATGATGCTGTTCTAGCTGTTGGGGATTCAGAATAAGTTAGTAAATAAGCAAAGTGTTTCTTGCCATTGAGGCCCTCATAGAGAGGAGAGATGGACTTAGAACAAAGTATGAGGATCGATAACAGGCAAGACAAGGGAGGGGAGGTTCTGGGCTGACAAAATAATGCATGTCCATTAAGAGTCCAAGTTTTTTAGGTTGAAAAAAATACCTTTTGATGTCTTGCACTGAGCATGTACGTTATCCCTTTTTAACTATAATTTTTTGCTTATGAAGAAAATTTCAATTTTCACAGCAGTTACTTCTTTTTTAGGATATAATTAAATTATATATTTTAGGTTGCCTGCCTGATTCGAGTTCCTTCAGAAGTGGTTAAGCAGAGGGCACAGGTATCTGCTTCTTCAAGAACATTTCAGATTTTCTCTAACATCTTATATACAGAGGTGAGATGTATTTTTAAACTATTTTTCTTTATTGAGAAAGGTTTTATAGTAATTAATATGAATACTGTGATTTTTCAGAAGTCTTAGAAGAGACCATAAAGCTCAATTTAATGCCCAATCACAGCAACTTTTTATACTAACGATATCTCTGCCTTTCCGTTTTCAAATTTAATTTTAAATTTTTTTCCCCAAATTTCTAAACAACACATACTGAGTTGTGTATATGTCCTACATTGTAATTGTCCTGTACTAGTTTCAGAATCAGACATTGAATAAATTGTGAAAATATGGAGTGAATAAAGCTGTCATATTAAAATGTTACTACAAATTAGAGGACCCGAGGAAGAGAAGTATAAGAATGGACATAGAGGGACGCCTGGGTGGCTCAGTGGTTGAGTGTCTGCCTTCGGCTCAGGGCGTGATCCTGGAGTTCTGGGATCGAGTCCCACGTCGGGCTCCCTGCATGGAGCCTACTTCTCCCTCTGCCTGTGTCTCTGCCTTCTCTCTGTGTCGCTCATGAATAAATAAATAAAATCTTAAAAAAATGGATATAGAGACTAGCATTATAACATTTATATTAAAATTAATTCCTTTGGGATCCCTGGGTGGCGCAGCGGTTTGGCGCCTGCCTTTGGCCCAGGGCGCGATCCTGGAGACCCGGGATCGAATCCCACGTCGGGCTCCCGGTACATGGAGCCTGCTTCTCCCTCTGCCTGTGTCTCTGCCTCTCTCTCTCTCTCTCTCATAAATAAATAAAAATTAAAAAAAAATTAAAAAAAAATAAAATTAATTCCTTTTTTACTTGTTAATGTTATGGGTCAGAAGTTAATCTTGCTGTCCATGTCACTAGGGACCATCGAACTGCTCTTTGTATTCTTTACAGAAGCCTTTCTTTTTTTTTTTAATAGTAATTAGTCATGTGGAAATTTTCAATGTGTCTAGGTTTTAGAAAACATTTTTCTTAATGGTCCCTTTGTCACTTAGGTGAGGAGATACTGAGTATTTAATCATAGGACCATGAGAGCAACTCAGTAAAGGGACCCTGTTGTTAGTCAGGTGGACAGTTAAATAAATCAGGGCTTGTCCAGAGATATTTATTACCATGGAGAGATTATTAATGAATTTCTGATGTCTTCTGATTGAAACTATGAAATATAATTCTATCTTTATTTGAAAGGATGATTGGCATTTGGTGCATTTGCTTTTCGGAATATTTTTATATAAAACACCTCAAGTATAATTTTCAGGAGCAGAAATTTTGAAAACAATTGAAGTGGTCAGTTTGATTATTTTAGAGATGTTCCTATTTTAAGGGGAGCTGACCTGAGCCTTATTTACTTTAGTTCGGTTTGTAACCTTTAACGTCTTATTGGAACTGTGCTCATTGTGAATGTTTTAAAACTCTGACTTCAGAAAAGGTAAATTTGCCTTTCTCAGAATGTCATTCCAAACTTTATGTTATTCTGACTTTCTGAGCTCTTGGTCTTTTGTTTGTTTCAGGGCATCCAAGGATTGTATCGAGGCTATAAAAGCACAGTTTTAAGAGAGGTAACTCACTTAATTTCCAGTATTGAAGTATGAAAGAATGCTATGCCTTGTTGAGTAAATTTATTCAGAGAAATTTTTATTCAAAAAATTAAAAAGGGGAATTATGATCACTTTTTGAAACACTGTTTAGTCTTATCCTGGTTCTTAGCCCTGATGAATGGGCAGAATGGGTTTGCTGGAAGAATTGTCCCCCAGATGAGAATGGCACTCATCCTGTGCTTCATTGTTGCTAGAGTGGCCAAATGTTTTCGGCTGAAATAGTAAGAAACAACTACTAAGGGTAACGTACCAAGTTAATAATTATCAGAATACACAAAATTAATGAAAAATTGGTAATGAAAGAAGCACTTGAAGAGACAAGTGTCTCAGAAGTCTGTATCATGCAGTCAACTCTTGCCTTCCTCATAACAAGATATGATGAGCTGGGAAATTCCATCTGGACTGGAGTGCTGGCCGTGCTTGCCACGCAGTATGCCCCCAGCAGCCACTTAACCTTTTGTGACTTCTAACTCTGAAATTCTGGGATCCATTACATTTCTTCTTCTTTTAGTTGAAAAAGCAAAGTGATTTTAGTATATTCTTATGGGAAGTGTGTTTTAATTTTTACCTCACGTAGAGGATGATATTTTGAAGTTCAAAAGTTGATTTATACAAGATTTATGACAAGTCTTTGGTTTGGGATATAATTTTCTTTCTTCCTTTCTTTCTTGCTTTATTGAGGTGTAATTGACAACTAAAATAGTAAGATATTCAAAGTGTACAGTGTGATGATTTGATGTATACATATATACATTGTGAAAAGGATTGGGACAGATTTTCTATTAAATAAAATACAAAGAGGAATCTGCATACCTATGCTCTGTATTCTTTTTTTCTATTTGGAATTCCCTAGGTGCTAAAATGTTTGCATTCATAAAAATGTTTTTAATGTAAATAAACATTGCTATAATTAGTAGAACATTGAAATTGTTTGAAGTCCCTAATTTTATTCCCAGGTTGTTTTTGTTTTGTTTTTTACTATAGACTACAGTCTCTTTTATGAAACACCAACACTGGTACATGTTATTTGAAGCTTTGATTTCTGCAATGTAACAGCCTTTAGGGTAGTGTGGTGTAGTTAATGTAGATCTTTGAAAAACTTATTTTGAAGGAAAACTGAATGTTTCAAAATTAGTTTGTGTGATGGTGAACTTCTGTTTTTCAAAAATATCACCCATACTATATCTTCATTCTGTACTTATTTTCTAACTCACTAAACATGTGTGATTTACTCAAGATTTCACTAGGGTACAGCAAACCAGGGGTGGGGGGACACTGAACCTTTTTTATTTTTCTGAGAGATGCTGAATAAATGAATATATTTATGTGCCAGGCAATACTGGTTTTGCATACAAACAGATAAAACACATGGTTACAACTGCATTCTATTCTTTTAAAAATTTGTTTTGACATATGTCACACTAATAATTAATTTCTAGGCTTCAGATTTTGCAAATAGTATGACCCTACCGAGATGACTTTGTTTACTGAAAATGGCAGTGCTTTGTTGGAAATTTAATTGGGGTCTTCTGCATTATGCGTATTCATAAAAGATCCTTCAGAACTGATTTTAGTTGAAATATTGCTTTTGTACAGATTCTCTGATAGAACGAGAGAAGAATTATCACTGAATGAAACATAGCTTCTTTTCAGAATGAGAAATATAAGACGTGATATATCTACTTTAAACAAAATTTTTACATTACATAGTTTCAATTCCTACATTATTCTGACACCAATATAAAATCTTTTTGCCAAGAGCTTGTCTGATTGTTTCAATAAGAAAATACATTGAAGCCTTAGTGAGAATCACCAGGAAACTCATATGGTTATTCTGTGTACAATTTTTCCTTTAAAACAAGTTTTATCTCCCTAGTGGTAGCCTATTAGAATGATATTGAAGTTTGAATCCATGCATTATAAGATAGATTATGTCTGTTCTTTAGATTTTGTGAATGCCGTCCTTTTTTTTTCTTTTTTTCTAACTGTGTTTGATGTTTTTGGAGATTGAGTGTTTATCCCTTATGTTCTCTTAAATTATTTTAGTTACTGTGAATTTTAGATGGAGTCTAAGCAAGGTCAACAGATTATACCTCATCCCTTCAGTATTCGTTTGTCTCATGATCTTGGCCAAATTAGATGCGGCCAAGCACTGTGCTGGAGTAGTGTCATTGTAATAAGATGGAAATGGGGAGCAAAACCACAGCTGCTTTCCTAGTCAGACTAATTTCAGAATGTCCACTGTCCTGAAAGTTCTATGGAGAGCAGCCTAATGATCTTCTTTGTGAATTAAAAGGACTTCTAAAGAGGAAGAAAGCTGAGAAAGGCAAGTTGTTTCAAAAGAAGTAAGAATGAGTTAAGCTCTGCAAATGTATTTTATCCATAGATTCTCCTTAGCATCATTTTAAAAGTGCTTACTCTGTGTTGGACACCATGCAGAACATTTTTGCCCTCAAGGATTTATGTTCTTGTGGGAAAATGACTAGGAATAGATAACTTTATAGTGCTCTGGTGATACATAGGTACAAAATGTGGCTGGGGTATAGAGGAAGCAGTGCTTGAATGGTACTTAGTATTTGTTGCATTGATATAAATGAAATATTGACTTAATTCTCAAAGGGGTGGCAATTAGAAATAGTCAAGGAGACAGGCAGTGGCAGATGTAACGTTATGAGCAAAGGCACAAGGGTGTAAAAGCACCTGTATACCTTGCTTAGCTCAGCAGCATTGGGGTTTTCATGCCTACGGAAGAGGCAAGAGCGATTTCCCTCTACCTCAGTCCAAGTGAGGATGCTGCAGGGAGGCACTCAACCAGGTAGGGTATTTGCAAGAAGAGATTGAGCCTCCCTGTAGCTGGATCCCTGCCAGGGGACTGTAGTACAGCACGTGCGAGTAAGCCTTGGAAGAGCCTAGCATGTGTCCCCCAGAATTTGGAGGCTAAGTTACTGGTGTTTGACTCTTGTCTGCATAAGTCTGATGGTAAGATGGCGGTTGGAGCTGCCTCAGTGGCAGGGAAGATGTTGCCATTGTGATCATGAATGACTCCAGACTTCTTTTTGGTAGATAAGAGTAGCTGCTATGGAGAAGTAAGATGGGTAAGGATTATCTCCTTTCTCTCCCCACAGCTTTGCTGCCAGGCTTCAATGAAAGCAGCTCTCCCACCAAACTCTGTTACACATGCAGTCAAAATCAAGCAGACCAAACAGATCACTCAACCTGTTCTATAAGTTCATTGAAGCCTTGGATCTGTCCCTTTAGGGCCTCCAAATTACCACGGATTGAAAAGTTCACTTCCAGGTAGCTTTTCCATTGTAGTTACCCTTCTTGTCTATTTTAGACAGTAGAATTCCCCTCATGCAGTGGCTGGAAATGGGTACCTTTAGGAATCAAGCCTCAGGATTATCCTTCAGTGTCTACCCCAGCTCTGTTGTCTGCTCCCTCAGTTTCTCTCCCCCTCAAACTCTTTTTTTTTTTTTTAAGATTTTATGTATTTATTCATGAGAGACACATAGAGGGGCAGAGACACAGGCAGAGGGAGAAGCAGTCTCCATGCAGGGAGCCCGACGTGCGACTTGATCCCGGAACTCCAGGATCACGCCCCGGGCCAAAGGCAGTGCTAAACTGCTGAGCCAGTCGGGCTGCCTTGCGCCTCAAACTCTTGATGTTATATAAATCTGTGTGTTTTACCAGAGACATAGGTGTTCATGTCATAGGTGTTCATTTGTTTGTTTCTTTAGCAAAATATTTTCGGGGTGACTTTTAATTACTTTGTAAAGATGACCATCTCAATTTTATGCTTGCATAGTACTCCAGTGTATACATGAGCCATTGGTTTCTTGTTGGTGGACATATAAACATGTTGCAGTGAATGTTCTTGTTCTTATGTCATTTTGTATATGGTTGAGGATGTTTGTAGATTAAATACCCAGAGTGAGATTGCTTGGCTAAAGGTGTATTACATTGGTAATTTTGATACATATGGCCAGTTTGCCCTTCGTGGAAATACCAGTCGACACTGTTTTTTTTTTTTTTTTTAAGACTTTATTTATTTATTAGTACAAGCAGAGGGGAGAAGGAGAAACAGGCCTCCCTACTGATCAGGGAACCCAGGGCAGGGCTTGATTCCAGGACTCTGTCTGTTGAGGCAGACACTTAACCGACTGAGCCACTCAGGCACCCCCCAGTCGACACTTCTGTTAGCAATTTAGGAACTCTTTTCCTCTGCCTTACCAACGGTGCTAGCAGTCTGAGAGGTGAAAGCTAGTTTCAATATAGTTTTAAATCTGAGACTGGGCATGTGAACATATATCCAAAAACTATTTTATTTCCTTTACTGTGAACTGGTTGTTTGAATTAAAGTCCTGGTGAGAATGAGATGGAGAGATCCATCCATGTGCTTTCTAGAGAGCCTGTCATGTGGGATGTGTTTAGTATGCTTAGCAACTGGGAGGGCTTTTGACAGGAAATAACACCTAAGTGTGAAAGGCACCTCTGCCCGGAACCAGCTTCCTGCTCTTGGCAAGTTACTTAACCTCTCTGAGCCCAAGTTTGCCCATATGCTCTAAGAACTTTGCATAGACTATTCTCATTGAACTCTCTCAGCAGTCTTACGAAAGAAGTATTATAGCAATATGGTCTGCTAGGGGACTCAGATGAAGAAACCTGACTCTAGGTTGTGAGGTCCTTGAACAGCCATACAAACCTTGATCTGTCTGTGTTTAAACATCCGAATGCCATTTCATGATGATGAGTAATGATTGTGTTTGAATTAGAGGCCAGCTGTTGGTATTACTTTTAAAGCTTTTCAGCCACAATTGGAGAATGTCTTTTAGAGAGGAATTTTCTATTCAGTTAACAAAATGCAACCTGCAACTGATTTTAAAAATATTCACTGGCTACTTCTGTAGGAAAAACAGCATATTGGTTATAATAATAGAGTTGCCCTTACTGGTGTTTTAGTT